ACCTGTGCAATAAGTCCACCTGTGAAATTTCCTTGCTACTAAATCAGGGCTTAAAATCTCAAGTCCTGAGCTATAAGCCAGGCCTTAAGAGTTACTTGCCACCAGTTTCCCCACCCAATCCCTGCCCCACCCCTAATTCCACCCCTAAACATGCCCTCGTAAATTATTTCATGAAATTACACTGTTAAATGTTATCCACATTACATCAGGGTCCCCAGAGTCTCCCCACATTACATCAGGGTCTCCAATGTCCCCCTAAACACTCCATCATACTTAGACCATGCACCGCACACAACTATAACCCCCCATAATCTTTCACTCACAAAACCGTAACTCTACCAAGCATATCCTATCTACTATCCAACCCAGCAGTACCTCAAATGCCCCATACTCTACCACCCATAATAACCACATAATCCTGAACCTGACCAAACCACCCATACATATAGGTTTACATACAGACACATGTACGTACATACATACATATATACATAAACGCACACACACACACACACACACACACACACATGTACACACACACACGCACATACAGACACATGTACATACACAGAAATACGCACACATGTACATACATACACACACGCAGACACTTGTACACACACTACATACATGTACAGTGGGAATTGAAAGTTTGGGCACCCCAGCTAAAAATTTGTATTAATGTGCATAAAGAAGCCAAGGAAAGATGGAAACATCTCCAAAAGGCATCAAATTACAGATTAGACATTCTTATAATATGTCAACAAAAGTTAGATTTTATTTCCATCACTTACCCTTTCAAAATAACAGAAAACAAAAAAAGGCGTCTGCAAAAGTTTGGGCACCCTGCAGAATTTATAGCATGCACTGCCCCTTTGCCAAGGGGAAGACCATGTGATGTCAATCTCAAAGGTTTTAAATGCCCAGACTCATCTGACCTTGCCCCAACAATCAGCACCATGGGTTCTTCTAAGCAGTTGTCTAGAAAACTGAAACTGAAAATAGTTGATGCTCACAAAGCTGGAGAAGGCTATAAGAAGATAGAAAAGCGTTTTCAGATGTCAATATCCTCTGTTCGGAATGTAATTAAGAACTGGCAGTCATCAGGAAGAGTGGAAGTTAAAGCAAGATGTGGAAGACCAAGAAAAATATCAGACAAAACAGCTCGCAGGATTGTGAGAAAAACAATTCAAAACCTACGTTTGACTGCACGATCCCTCCAGAAAGATCTGGCAGACACTGGAGTTGTGGTACACTATTCCACTATAAAGAGATACTTGTACACATATCGTCTTCGTGGAAGAGTCATCAGAAGAAAACCTCTTCTACGTCCTCACCACAAAAATCATCGTTTGAACTTTGCAAATGAACATATAGACAAGCCTGATGCATTTTGGAAACAAGTTCTGTGGACCGATGAGGTTAAAATTGAACTTTTTGGCCGGAATGAGCAAAGGTACGTTTGGAGAACAAGGGGCACAGAATTTAATGAAAAGAACCTCTGTCCAACTGTTAAGCATTGGGTTGGATCAATCATGCTTTGGGGTTGTGTTGCAGCCAGTGGCACAGGGAACATCTCACGAGTAGAAGGAAAAATGGATTCAATAAAATTTCAGCAAATTTTGGATGGTAACTTGATGCCATCTGTGAAAAAGCTGAAGTTAAAGAGAGGATGGCTTCTACAAATGGATAATGATCCTAAACACATCTCGAAATCCACGGGGGATTACATCAAGAGGCGTAAACTGAAGGTTTTGCCATGGCCTTCACAATCTCCTGACCTCAACATAATTGAAAATCTATGGATAGACCTTAAAAGAGCAGCGCGTGACAGACAGCCCAGAAATCTCAAAGAACTGGAAGACTTTTGTAAGGAAGAATGGGCAAAGATACCTCAAACAAGAATTGAAAGACTCTTGGCTGGCTACAAAAAGCATGTTTACAAGCTGTGATACTTGCCAAAGGGGGCAGTACAAGATATTAACTCTGCAGGGTGCCCAATCTTTTGCAGACGCCATTTTTTTGTTTTCTGGTATTTTGAAAGTGTAAATGATGGAAATAAAATCTAACTTTTGTTGACATATTATAAGAATGTCTAATCTGTAATTTGATGCCTTTTTGGAGATTTTTCCATCTTTCCTTGGCTTCTTTATGCACATTAATACAATTTTTTAGCTGGGGTGCCCAAACTTTCGATCCCCACTGTACATACATGCAGACACATGTACACACGCACCCACCCCTATAAAAAGTTGCAATACTTTGTTGTTCACTCACAGATCTGGGTACTGCACTCTAGGGGGAGGCAGAGAGCACAACACACACTCCTTCCTTTGCTTTCACTTCGCTCAGCTATTGAGCAGTCTGATGGCTCCCAGTGCAAGTGATAGATCTGGACCTGAGTTCCGAGCCTGCTCAGCAAGATGGCCCTGGGGACACACTCGCCCCCACCGTAATTTCCACTCGCCAATGCGAGCAGGTGAGTGGAAATTTCAAGGCCTGTACTAAATGTTCCACGTAAAATGTTAGTTGCACTATAACAAAAATGGAAGCAACTGGGAACAACAGCAACTCAGCCATGAAGTGGTAGGCCATGCATCCAAGCCTTCCACGATCAAGTGCAATGCAAAGCGTTAGATGCAGTGGTGTAAAGCACGCCGCCATTGGACTCTAGAGCAGTGGAGATGTGTTCTCTGAAGTAACGAATCGCGCTTCTCTGGCAGTCTGATGGATGTGTCTGGGTTTAGCGGTTGCCAGGAGAAAGGTACTTGCCTGACTGCATTGTGCAAAGTTTGATGGAGGGGGGATTATGGTGTGGGGTTGTTTTTCAGGAGTTTGGCTTGGCCCTTTAGTTCCAGTGAAGGGAACTCTTAAGGCATCAGCATACCAAGACATTTTGGACAATTTCATGCTCTCAGCTTTGTGGGAACAGTTTGGGAATGCCCCCTTCCTGTTCCAACATGACTGCGCACCAGTGCACAAAGCAAGGTCCATAAAGACCTGGATGAGTTTGGAGTGGAGGAACTTGACTGGCCTGCACAGAGTGCTGACCTCAACCCGATAGAACACAATTGGGATGAATTATAGCAGAGACTGCGAGTGCTTCTCGTCCGACATCAGTGACTGGCCTCATTTTTCTGAAAGAATGCTCAAACATTCCCATAGACACACTCCTAAACCTTGTAGACAGCCTTCCCAGAAGAGTTGAAGCTGTTATATCTGCAAAGGGTAAGCAAACTCTGTATTGGACCCTACGGACTAAGACTGGGATGTCATTAAAGTTCATGTGCTTGTAAAGGCAGGTGGCCCAATGCTTTTGGTAATATCGTGTATGTCAGGTTTCTATGGTAGTGAGTTTTTGTAGAAGGCCAAATTGGGGCTCCCCAGGGTGTGGAGTCTAAGCCCCAACCTGCTACTTCACCAGAGCCCAGCTGAAGATAGAAGACCACTTGAGTGTGCAGAATACAGATGACAGGAGACAGAAGAGGATGCGGGAAATGAGGCAAGGTCAGGGTGGGCGGCAGGCAAACAAAAACCGTGTACAAAGCCAGGGTCAGTACATGGGACGTCAAACACAAAGTACAAGTAATACAAGGAGCACAGAGAAACTAGGAAGTTGCTCAGACAATGCAGGTTGCAAAGAGAACGTTTATATAATAGGAGGGGGACTGTAATGCCAAAAAGTGATAGAGAAAGGGACGTAAATCGACAGTAGCGCAGGCAATGCCCATAGGTGAGCAGAGGCCAGCAGCACATGTGCATAGAATCCCAGGTCTAGCGAAACCACTGCAACAAGGAGGTAAGAATTTCACAAACCGGAAACTGCAGGCTAAACCATGACAGAATGTTTATGCAGAGTTGTTTAACCTGTGAAGAACTATTGATAGCTGTATAGCCTCCAAATTTCCAAGTCATCCAATCTCCATTGACTGAGCACCAGGCGATGTTTATTGTCCCTGCAGCAGAGAGGCCCGGCGAGAACTCTGTCAATTTTTTACTGCTATTCACAGCATTCGAGATTGCTCTCATTTTCACTTTGTGACATCTGTTTTCCCAGAGTGAAGCAAAAATGTGAAGTGTTGGTTGGATATATGGTCTATGGCTGTCCTTGAGCATGTACAGTATTGTATTGGGCTGTGCTCCAGTTCAGGCTGTAAATACTATAAGAACCTGATCATGCTGTGACCTCAAGTCTTTATTGTGATCTATTTTTTAGCTAAGGCGGTTAATTTGAGCATGGTTAGAGTGACTTTTAAATTTCCTGTTCCAGGTCTGCTAGCTTCTTAAAGTCAGAAGGGACATTAATGAGTAGCCCCAGTCAACAGCTGTTTCCTCCCAAACCTGAAGTGTTTATTGATGTATTGTAATAACTGGAAACTAAAGTCCACCCGGTAGTTTCTGTAGATGTGTGTGTGTGTGTGTGTGTGTGTGTGTGTGTGTTTTCTTTATATTGCAAAGAGTCATATAACTTTTCCAAACCTGTTGCTGAACCTCATAATTCTTTCAAAACCCAAACAAAATGAGTACGGTATTTCGAACACTAGTACATTTCGGAGGAATGTGGGTTTTTTTTTTCTACAGCACCAAAATGTAGCAAAGCTAGTTTTGTTTTCACAGCCTTTTGTGCCTTTTTTTTTTTTTTTTTTTTCTTTTTTACAGGGACCTGACTATGGAAATAGTGCGGTATCGTCTTGTTGGCCCCCTCTCTCACTCTGTACTCAATGATGCTCTGCACCCAGCCCCTATCCACAAAGTAAGCATTTACTGTAACATGTTGGTTTCTACCTTTTTGGCCTCATGCACACTGGCCGTCAGAATAAATAAATATTCCAGACAATAGAATGCCTTTGCACCAAATGCACAACGTGGGTTTAGGGATGTTTTTTAGGAACTGTTTTGTTAAAAACTTTCTGGGCAGGCTATGCAGTCATAAAACGTCTTTATTTTATCCACAGAAAACTGAAGATCATGGGCCCCACAGGTGGTGGGAAGACTACTGTCAGAATTCAGATATTAGTCTCCTTCATGACCAGCAGAGCTGCCTCTTCAGTTTACTGCAAGGTATACCCTGAGTGCTTTGGGGAATTTTGTTCTCAATTACTTCTCTGACCTATTATTGGGGTAAACGGCAGATCTCTGGAGTAAAAGTACTGGCCCCTGGATGACGGACACAAAGCAATAAATGCAAAGGGGCATGATCCTCTTATTGTGGGCTAAAGTTCTTTGCACCAGAAGTTTAACATGGTGCATCAAGAATATCCTCATACTATTCTAGTATTGGAGACTTTCTATTTGACCGTGCCTTACCCAGGCCCCTAATTTTCACAGATCACAACAAACACTCTGAAGTCAGGGTTTAGTCTGTCTCCAAGCCCTGGTTCACACCAGTGTGACTTGAGAGTTCAAAGTCGCACCCTATTAGTGGCTATGAAGCTGTTCAAATCGGTGCAACTCAAGTCGCAGTGACTTTAAAAGTTTCCTGCCCTATCTTTGTGCGACTTCATTGCAATGTACATTGACATCTGTTAAATAAAGTCACTCAGAGTGTCAGCAAGCCACAATGAAGTTGCACTCAATAGTTAGCTTTGAAGTTGCACAAAGTAGCTTGATTTCAAAACTATTGGTGTGGACCAGGGCTTATACCTGCTGGTGGTTTATATTAGGAGGCTGGCAGACTGCCAAGATCTGCTCCCATAGAAAAACCGTGCTCATGTTGTGAACTTTGAAAATGAATATATAATTTTTAGAGGGCTTGTCTGAAAGTGCATTTTCTGCTTCAGCAGAATCTGTAAATACCGAAGACTACATGAGCTGAGCACAGTTTTCACTTTTACGTGTCAGTCTTGCCGAGAGGCTGATGGTACATTCTCTGTGAACTTGAAACTTATGTGGAACTTTAGTCAGAAAATGATGATTACTTCATTCAGGCCTCTTTTGCAGGTATAGCTATGTAAAACATTAAAAATAGGTGCGTATACTGTTTAAAATCCAGTAAAACACAGGCTCACTCTGCATAGTTACTTTAGCACTGTCCTTAAAATCAGAGCCACTAGCAGCGGATATGCCCTCGGCCTAAAGATTTACTGCTGCTCAGGGGCTCTGGGATGCAGTAAAATGGCAGCCTCCTGCAAGAAAAAAAGGAGCAATGCTAGAGGTAATTTTACAGCACAGTAGTTTTGGAAGCATAATTCATGTGGAATATACTGTCATGGCCAAAAATCTGGCATCCCTGCATTTCTGTCAGCTAATGCACCACTTTCTCAGAAAATTGTTGTAATTACAAATGTTTAGGAATTCTGATGTTTCTTTTATTTGTATGACAAAGTGGAGAAACAAAAAGTCAAATCTGACACATTCCACGCAAATCCCCAAAAATGACTAGACAAAATTATTGGCACCTTCTCAAAATTTGTGTTAGAAATAATTGCGTTCCACTTTTGTGATGCTCTTGTAATTTGTAATTAAACTCACCTGTGTCAATTACCAGGTGATCACACCGGCAACCAGTTAAAATGGTGAAAATTTGACTCAACCTTTCTGTTGTGTATTTGTGAGCCACATGGATCACAGATAAGAGAATTGTCTGAAAATTTGAGAACAAAAATTGTGGAAAAGTATGGACAATCTCAAGGTTACAGTCCATCTCCAGAGATCTTAATGTTCCTGTGTCCACTGCGCAACATTGTCTAGTTTACAGCCCATGGCACTGTAGCTAATCTCCCTGAACGTGGACGAAAGTGACAAAATTGATCAAAGATTGCAATGAAGGATTGTTCGAATGATGGTAAAAGAATCTTGATCAACTTCCAGACAAATTCAAGCTGACCTTCAAGCACAGAGTACAATTGTCTTATGTCACCATCTGAATGAATAGTGACGCTATGGTAGGAGACCCAGGAGGACCCCACTGCTGACACAGAAACAAAAAAAAAAAAAAAGCCAGATTGGAGTTTGCCAAAACTTACCTGAGGAACCTAAAATCCTTTTGGGAGAATGTGCTGTGGACAGACGAAACACAGTTACAGCTTTTTGGTAAAGCCCATCATTCTACTGTTTTCAGAAAAAGCAATGAGGCCTTTAAAGAAAAGAATACAGTCCCTACAGTCAAACATGGTGGAGGTTCACTGATGGTTTGTGGTTGCTTTGCTGCTTCAGGCACTGGATGTCTTGATCATTTGCATGGCATTGTGAAATCTGAAGACTACCAAAGCATTCTGGGGTTGTAGGGCCCAGTGTCAAACCCAAAGCACATGTCAAGAAAGATCCAAAAATGGTTTCAGACAAAGCGCTGGAGAGTACCGAACTTGCCAGCAATGAGTCCAGATCTCAATCCCATAGAGCACATGTTGAGAGATCTCAAAACAGTAGTTGGGAAAGGAACCCTTCCAATCTGAGAGACCTGGAGCAGTTGGTGAAAGAAGAGTGGTCCAAAATTCCAGTAGAGAGGTGGAAGAAACTCATTGATAGTTACAGGAAGCAATTGATTTCAGTTATTTTATTTTTTTATTTTCCAAGGGGTGTACTATCAAATGTTAAAATGAGGTTGCCAATCATTTTGTCCGGTCCATTTTTGGGGTTTTGCAAGGACTGTGTAAAATTTGGCTTGTTTCTTCACTCTTTTGTGTCATACCAATACAAACAAAAAAATAAACCTTAATAAATAACATAATTTTTTTTAAAATACATTTATTATGGGTAAAGTTAAGCTTTAAAACAAATACAACCACTGCTGGGCTTCTGAAGATGCTTGTTTGGCTGTCAAGCAACTTTTAAAATACTTGCGTCTGAATCGGCATACACAGAACTGGCATGCCTTCAGTGCAAGTTAATGACATCAGAACTCCTGATCTGCAAACTTTGGAGTCCGAAGAGATTTAATCATATCGTGTATTATAATCATATACTATACTGCCGACACAGGTTTTTCAAATGGGCACAGCCATCTGTTAAAGTTTCCCGTTTATTCTGGTGTTCTGCAGCTGACTGCCCAGTTGGCTAGATCCTGTAGTTGTCCTAATTCCTTTGAGCTGCTGTCACGGTTCACCCACACGCCCACAGCGACTAGCTAACCGAGGCTCGCACGTGCGGCCGTGACTTGGGGTACGAGGGAATAAGGGGGACTTAATTTCTAATGTATATAAGACCAGCCGTGATACACTTTCACAGCCCGCACTACCTCTTGGCCACCACTGAAGGGAGACTCCACTCCAATCCAGCCGGCCGACCACACACTGGCAGATACAAATCTTACATATAATCTGGTGGTGAACTAATTAGGGTTGAGCAGCAGCCCAGCAATCACACACCCTTCTAGGATCCCTCCAGCTATCCTACAAGCTAGGTGTTAATCACTCTTCCACTTATCCGCAGAACAGTCTGTTGGGACACCACACACACAGATCTCTGTCTGGCAGATCTGCTACCTTTACAATCTGCACGCAATCTGCCAACACACAGTGCAATTGCATACAGATAGGCAATGAACTTGACCGAGCATTTAAAGACACTAAAATACAATACAATCTAATCTCTCCGAAGATATGAGCCTGTGCTTAAGTACCCAGAAGTCACTTATTAATTTTAAGATCTAATATCCTGAAAGTGGGCAGTGCATAAAATATGTAAAAAGTTACAGAAAATACAAAAAAAAAAAAACAAGACACATAAATGGCTATTGACTATAAAATGAAAGGGAAATAAAACAGAAATAAAACTTTTACCAAGATTTATCCTGCGACTGGAGCAAATCAGAGAGAGTTCGCAATCCGTCAGTCAATAAGGACGGGCTCTGTACGAATCACAACATCCATACCTCAGGGTGCTCAATTTACGGGAATATGGACCTGGGCTGGACATGAGTCCTTGGCCAATTGACTCTGGGGGGTGTTCCTGTGCCCGCCCACAGGATGTTCTGGGTACTGAAGTGCCCAAAGTCGATTGGACCAGGAACGGTTTGAATCACCAAGTCAGGGATTGAATTTCCGACACCAGCGCATCAGTCCGATCGTGACAGTACCAATCACTGTTCAGCTGTTGCGATCCGGCGCCACATAATCATTTCCTGCATTTTTTGGCATTCTACATAGGCCACAAATACAGTTTTTGGTTTTTTTCATGCAGATGTAGCCTACAGAGTGTCCAATCGGAGGGAAGTATTTTCATCTCTCTGCAACTAATATTTTAGCTTTTATGAGAGATGAAACATATTCCTTTTGATCTATGTATATAAGTCAAAGCTTCCCAGACAGATCGGAGCCCCCCTGGTCATCTGCAGTCGAAATGTCTGGAGCCATTTCCTTCCAGGTTTTCAGGAAGGTGACAAATCTTATTGGCACTTAGGTGTCACTTACAGCCTGAGGAAGCTGCTCTCTTTTCAGATGCTAATGGATGAGCACATGTCTCTGAATACCTATGACTGAATATATGACTGAATACGTCTTTAATAACAAGGAATGAAACTAAATTTATGATTACATATTGCTACAGGTCACATCTTATCTACTCAAATCTGTACATTTATGTCACATCTCAGCTATTCAAATCTTACATGTACGTTACAGCTGCCTTTATAGATTTAGCGGTTCCAAATGTCTACTGGACTAACTGCTTTTTTTTCTCCGATGCCCATTTTAAGGTGAATACAATTTTTGGTCCTTTGTACTGATGTCTATTGTCCATATAACCTGAAGATCTTACCAAGGCAAATATTTGAAAGTTTTTTTTTTTTTTTTTTCCTTTTCAACACCACAAAATTAGACAAATATATACACGTGCATAAAAATGCTCAGAATTTAAAGTGAAACTGCAGGCACACGGCACATATATACCCGTTTTAATACATGTATGGTTAACTGTTAGAGTATTTGTAATTTTATTTAGCCAGCTTTTTAAGCTCTACAGCCCTGCCTGGTTCTTACCCTCTAAAAACTATTTTGTAATTGGGTACACCATTCATTACTGTAGAGTACATGATTGTTGTGGCTGGGAAGGGCGCATTTCCGAAACCCTAATTCAATAACCTTTTCAAGGAGTTGTACTTTGTCAGTGGACAAGAATGTATCGTGCCTATTCCTATTTATTAAACCTATATGCTTATGACTTCTTTCTAGGAATAGCCTCACCGGCACAGATTCCACCTGGAACCATTTTGGGTCTCACAGTTGGAGATCCAAGAGTCAATTTACCTAAGAAGAGAACCAAATCTCTGCCAAATTTTGAGCAGTGTGAAGGTGAATCATCTGGCTATTGTTTATATTCACAAAGTATTGTGTACAGGTTTAATGTTTGTGTAGAAGGATCGAGCTATTGCTGGCCTTGTGCTCAGTGGGAGCCTCTGTTTTTCCATACAGATGACCCAGGTTCAAATCCTGGCAAGGCCAACTGGAAAAGTGTTTCCTGCTCTTCATGTGTTGAACTATTCATCTTGGACTTCTTTGGCAGTTCATGATTGTTAGCAATGTGTATGTAGCTTTATCATCTCTTGCTGTACTGTGCGGAGAGATGGCAACAAGGATAGAAATGAAAGCCCTGCCTGTACAGGTTTACAATCCTAGATTAAAACTGGACTAGTAACAAGTGTTAAGGGAATGAGGAAGCTATAAGTAAGGTGGTGGAGGAGGATAAAACTGGTTGGGTCAGTTAGAGGAAAATACGCTGGGCTAATGTGATTTTACCTTTACTAAGAGAAATATTTCAGCTAAAATGTTTGCTACATGGTTCTCTGTGGTCCCTTTCTTGAGCCACTGAGCCAAAATGGTTGGTCAGTCAAAACATTCAATCTGCATCCCTGGTCAGGTTGGTGATTAAGTATGATGTTCAGATAAATTCACATGATAGAGAGATCAGCAATAATAGTTTACTGTGCAACAGGATACCGAAAATGGTGCCCGTGAATGCAGCCTGTGCTTGTTTTCCCTTCTATTGCCTGCTGTAAGCTCCAAGTTGGGCTGGTCAGAGCTTACACTAGGCTGAAGAATTTCTTCCCAACCTCATGTGGCAGTGCTGGGGCCTGGTAAATGGCTGCTCAGACAAGAAACGCTACTCATGCTTTCAATTTCTTTTCACTTTTGATGGCTGAATGTAGCTTCGGGAAGGTAACACGGTAGGCTCTGAGGGCGGAGTGGCATCAAAGTAAGTTTTAAGTGGCTACAAGATGACTGAAGGATTCTGACTGGTTTCTTCACTCCCTCCCCAAGCCTGTAAATGAGTTAGCATGTGCTCTTTTTTTTTTTTTTTTTTGTTTTTTTTCCTTCCAGGGGGCAGAGGGGAGCGAGCGAGTATTGATATTTTATTTGCAGCTACTGACTTTTATAAAAAAAAAATAAAGCTGAAGTTCCTCTTTAAAGAATAAGGTTTTATTCATTTTTTAACAAGAAAAATACAGATTTGCTTTGAAAATATGGTGATTCAAGCTTTGAGTTTTTTGTTCAGAAGTCTTTTACCTTCTCTGAATCACTCATAATGCTTTGATCTTTAGGAATATTCCTGCTGACTATTCAGACAATCCATTGACCAGTGACAGAAACTAAACCATCTGGAAGATGTCAGAGCCACATTAGCATAGTAACTCATCAGGTGTCCTGTGGCCTAAATAAAATGACCAGCTTCTAATACGAATTATCTGTGGATGCCTGCAGATCTGTTTATATACATTTGGATGTAACCTAACAAATGAATGCCATGTGTAAATTGCAGAATAGATTTTTGTTTTTGTCTGAATTCTTCACCGTATTCTGGGGATGTGCACAGAGTTGTCTGTTGATGGATAGATGTGTCTGTTTTTCTCTTGACTCACCAGATGGAGAGAAAGTAAGGTCACTGATGGTGAACGGTGTCCCAGCGGAGTGCTCTCAAAGTCTCATCTGGTCATCTGATATTCGCTCTCAAGTAATGGAGAATAAAATAACAGAACAGGTAAAGAACACGTGTAAAACTTTGTTATTGGTAAAAATGGTGTACACAGAGGTGTGGAAATTTTTTTTTTTTTTTTTTTCTTCAAAAACTACTTGTCCAGGGACTAAATCTGGGCCCCAATCTACTTGTCCCTCATGACAATCTACTTGTCCTGATAAAAAAAAAAAACATGAATTTTAACCAAAACTGTATTTAAATCTGCTTTAAGTAATGTCTGGGGCTTTTAAAAACAAAAGGGGCTTTATGGCAACTTGAACGTGTAATATTTTTAACATTGCGCTGTTTATCTTCTCCTCTCCTCCCTGCCTGTTTCCAGCACAGCACCTGGGGATTAGCAGGGAGGGGGGGGGGGGGGAGACCTTGCAGTGTAATGAGCACTGATTGGTTGCTTGTCAGGAAAGGGTGGGTCAGGGCTTATACTTTATCCCTTTCACTGCCAGAGTAGTTTTTGCGTTTTCACTGTCAGTCGTTTTTTGCACACGTTTAAAAAAATCATTTTAGGCCTGAAGATTACAGAAAACCCCAAACATTGTGTATTTTCTGAAAGCAGAGACCCTAGATAATAAAACTGTGGTAGTTCCAATTTTTTATGTTGCATGATTTACTGCAAAATTTTTGTAAAAAGTACAAGCAAGTTAATTTTAGGGCACAAAAAAGCAATAAATTATCGTATTTTGTTTGTGAAATCTAAAAGATGAGGTTGCAGCGAGTAAATAGATATCCAGCTTGTCAAGCTTTAAATTTGTGCGTGCTCATGAAATGGCAATGAACTTCAGTACCCTATATTTTCTATAGGTTGACACTTTTAAAGCCTTTATAGGTCACCAGTTTAGTGCTAAGGAGGAGGTCTGGTGCTAGAATTATCTCTTATCCTGGTGTGTGTGGCGATATGTGATATGAGTATTGCAATCGATGGTTTCATGCGTCGGCGCCCCAGTGTGTGCAATTACGTTTGTATGTGCATGTGTGTGGGGTGGGGGCCTCAATATTTTTTTTGGGGGGATGGAATGTGCTTGGGTGTAACTTTTATTTTTTACAATAAAAAAACAAACTTTTTTCCCTTTTTTTTTTTTTTTTTTTTTCCCCATCACATAGGGGACAAAATCCCCTATGTGATTTTTGGTGACAGGTTCTCTTTGAGACATCCAAGGTTTAAAAGACCTTGCACGTCTCCCCTCTGCTCCACTGGATGTAATGTTTTGCTCATTGCACCACATTACATTCTTTCCCGGGGATTGTATTGCAATCTCTCATCGGGGACCCGGAAGTGACATTGTAAGTCACTTCCGGGTCAGCACAAGAAGGGGAGGGAAGCGGAGCGGAATTGTCCGCTCTTCTCCCTCCCCTGTAGCAGACGGCGAGCTGGGCCTACAGATGGGCAAGCGGAGCCCAGGAAACCTCATGGTGGAGGCACAGAGAGGCTGACACTGTGAAATCGATCGGCAGCAGCACTGCCGCCAATTGCTTCACCTGACAGGTGAGCCCCCGCTGCTTGCTTGCAGCAAGGCTAAAAGAGGAAAAAAAACTATCTGCCCAACGCTCGGAACTACATGTCCCAGGCGTAGGGCGATAAGAATCCAACATCCCTATGTACATATAGCCACGGCCTAACTGTCTTCATAAATCTACCTTCTGTGTTGCCGTGTGTCTTTGCTCTTTTCTAGCATGGTCAATGCTTTCAGCCCAGTGACTGATGAGTAGGCAAATCTGATTAGTGGTAAACCACGTAAAGAAAAAGAAAAAAAAATCCCTTGCAAGGTAAAGGCATAATGTGCTAGTACGCATAACATACTAGCACATTATGCAAACGTTGCCCTAAAACAAAGCCCTCCAGCAGTGCACTGTCACCACTGTAGAGGCTTCCATCTCTTCATCTGGTCTTCCTTCCAGGTTTCTGAGCTCTCGCTGGCTGAGCATGTGGGAGTCTCAGGACATGGCACAGTGCTCTGAAGGAACAGCACGGGTATGCCATTCCTTCAGAGAGCATGCGCTACCGTATGAACAACCTGAATATGTCCTAAACTGTACACGTTTAGGAGATATTCTTATTACCTACAAGTAAGCTTTATTAAAAGCTCACCTGTAGGTAAGAAGTAACAAAGTGGCTACTACCACATTTAAAGGCAAACTGGCCCGGCTAATTTGAAATATTTACATTTCTTATAGCTGAAGTGTAGCGTATGCATATAATACCTTACCTAGGCAAGGGCAAGGTTGCGATCCTTAAAGTCAGATACTGGAAACAATGAGGATCACAAATTTTACAAGACATTCATAGACCGCACAGGAGGTTTGTCTAAAGTGGACCTTAAACTAAAAAGCCTCATCTGCTTATTACACTATTATCCAAAAAAAGTTAAATGTATATATTTTTTTTTTGGGGGGGCTGATGGTGTAGTAAGTACCGTATTTTTCGCCGTATAAGATGCACTTTTTCTTCCCCAAAACTGGGGGGAAAATGTCAGTGCGTCTTATGGGGCGAATATGGAGCGGCCGGTCTGGTATTTCCACCGCGGCCGTGTCAGAATACCGGGCCGGCCGCTCAGCTCTGCAGCGGGACCTTACCTGTTCCTCTATCCAGCGGCGCGCTGTCTTCCCGGCTTCTGTAGTGTGGGCACTGGGCATGACAGCCGGGTGCCAACTGCGCATGCGCAAGAAGCGGTGCTTTTTGTGAATGGTAAGGCGTTACCTGGGACACATGACAGATCCCAGAAGCCGCCGGACCAATCACAATGCGCAAGTGCTTCTCGCTCATGCACACTGGGCACCCGGCTGTCATGCCGAGCGCCATTACAGAAGCCGGGAAGACAGCGCGCGGCTGGATCGAGGAACAGGTAAGATCAAACAAAAACTCTGCGGAAGTAAGAGCAGGTACCTGTCAAATTCGGGTACCCGCTCCCCACCTCCCCCAAAAGGTCAGCAGTCATCTCCTGTGCTGTCCGCAGTCTCTGGTCATCCCTGTGCTGTCCGCAGTCTCTGGTCATCCCTGTGCTGTCCGCAGTCTCTGGTCATCCCTGTGCTGTCCGCAGTCTCTGGTCATCCCTGTGCTGTCCGCAGTCTCTGGTCATCCCTGTGCTGTCCGCAGTCTCTGGTCATCCCTGTGCTGTCCGCAGTCTCTGGTCATCCCTGTGCTGTCCGCAGTCTCTGGTCATCCCTGTGCTGTCCGCAGTCTCTGGTCATCCCTGTGCTGTCCGCAGTCTCTGGTCATCCCTGTGCTGTCCGCAGTCTCTGGTCATCCCTGTGCTGTCCGCAGTCTCTGGTCATCCCTGTGCTGTCCGCAGTCTCTGGTCATCCCTGTGCTGTCCGCAGTCTCTGGTCATCCCTGTGCTGTCCGCAGTCTCTGGTCATCCCTGTGCTGTCCGCAGTCTCTGGTCATCCCTGTGCTGTCCGCAGTCTCTGGTCATCCCTGTGCTGTCCGCAGTCTCTGGTCATCCCTGTGCTGTCCGCAGTCTCTGGTCATCCCTGTGCTGTCCGCAGTCTCTGGTCATCCCTGTGCTGTCCGCAGTCTCTGGTCTTCCCTGTGCTGTCCGCAGTCTCTGGTCATCCCTGTGCTGTCCGCAGTCTCTGGTCATCCCTGTGCTGTCCGCAGTCTCTGGTCATCCCTGTGCTGTCCGCAGTCTCTGGTCATCCCTGTGCTGTCCGCAGTCTCTGGTCATCCCTGTGCTGTCCGCAGTCTCTGGTCATCCCTGTGCTGTCCGCAGTCTCTGGTCATCCCTGTGCTGTCCGCAGTCTCTGGTCATCCCTGTGCTGTCCGCAGTCTCTGGTCATCCCTGTGCTGTCCGCAGTCTCTGGTCATCCCTGTGCTGTCCGCAGTCTCTGGTCATCCCTGTGCTGTCCGCAGTCTCTGGTCATCCCTGTGCTGTCCGCAGTCTCTGGTCATCCCTGTGCTGTCCGCAGTCTCTGGTCATCCCTGTGCTGTCCGCAGTCTCTGGTCATCCCTGTGCTGTCCGCAGTCTCTGGTCATCCCTGTGCTGTCCGCAGTCTCTGGTCATCCCTGTGCTGTCCGCAGTCTCTGGTCATCCCTGTGCTGTCCGCAGTCTCTGGTCATCCCTGTGCTGTCCGCAGTCTCTGGTCATCCCTGTGCTGTCCGCAGTCTCTGGTCATCCCTGTGCTGTCCGCAGTCTCTGGTCATCCCTGTGCTGTCCGCAGTCTCTGGTCATCCCTGTGCTGTCCGCAGTCTCTGGTCATCCCTGTGCTGTCCGCAGTCTCTGGTCATCTCCTGTGCTGTCCGCAGTCTCTGGTCATCTCCTGTACTGTGTCTGCAGTCCATTAGTTCAGAATTTTTTTTTTCCTGTTTTCTGCCTCTAAAACCTAGGTGCGTCTTATGGTCAGATGCGTCTTATACGGCGAAAAATACGGTAGATTTTTTTTTTTTGTGTAAGGTCCACTTTAATGTACTATGGGTTAGCAGAGACAGTACAAATGAGCTCCTTGCGTTGTGGTGCATTTTGCTTGTAGAATGAAATAAATGACTAATCTCTAATGAAAGTTCAGACCAACTGAGACCCTTAGCCTTGATCTCCAGAAGATTTTATCCCCTTCATGACCAGGCCATTTATTGCTATTTGGCACTGTGCTACATTAACTGACATTTGCGCAGTCATGCAACACTGTTCCCAAATGAAATGTATAACATTTTTTTTTTTTCACACAAATAAAGCTTTCCTTTGGTGGTATTTGATCACCACTGGGTTTATTTTTTTTATATAAACATATCCAATGAAAAAATGTATTAAAGATCAAATTTCTTCATAAATTTAAGCTAAAATGTATTCTGCTACATGTCTTTTGTAAAATAAAAAAAAAAAAGCGCAATAAGCGTATATTGGTTTGCAAGAAAGTTATAGGGCCTGTAAACTATGGGATATATACTGGAATTTTTATTCATTTTTTTTTTTTTTTTTTAATGCTTGTAATGGTGACGATCAGCGACTTAAAGCAAGACTGTGATAGTATGGCAGGCAATCTGACCCTGACATCACCTGTGACCCCAATACAGTTATCAGTGCTAATAA